CACCCGGCTGATTTTTTTGATTTATTGTAGAGATAAAGTCTCGCTGCCCAGGCGGGTCTCGAACCCACGAGCTCAGGCAATCCACTCACCTCAGCCTCCCAAAGGCGCGGGATTATAGGCTGAGCCACCGAGCCCGGCTCTAACATGCTATTCTTATATAAAACCATTTAAATTAAAATATCCTAGTTTGCCTTATTGTGTAATATTAATGAGAAAATCTTGCTATAAGGATTTTTTTTGGGGGGGATGCCTTTAAAAGTTGAAATTCTGGCTCGGCATCATGTCTTGCCTTTATTTAAGTTTATTTTCTTTTAAGTGTTATTTGAATGAAGACCAAATTTAGTTACCTCTTTCTTAGATCACCCTGGTAAAAACATAGAAAAGGTATCATTTTACTAATTTTATGAATTGTGTAGCTATGGGGTATAAATCTTTCCATTGGGGGTATTTTTTGATATACATAGGATCATTGTATAGTGGCTACAACTGGTCAATTGTGTCTCAAGAATTCTAAAATTCTTGCTGATTGCCCGTTCTTCTGAAAATAACTGACATGGGATGGGATATTCTAAATATTTCCAATTCTAGTTTTTGTAAGCATTATTGATATGAGAGGGCCATGATTAGTGCTTACAGGACACGGGCTTTTCTTTATCATGGTGTCTAAGTAAGTACAGGACACGGGCTTTTCTGACTTCTAATATTGGTTTTCCAATGTGGAGCACAGTGATACAGAAAGATATTTGCCACTACTGTAGTGCTGGTCTGGTCCTACTTGAAGGTCTTCCTGATGGCATTGGCTAATGCCTTTGTGAAGCAGCTGCCTTACCCAAGTCCTCTATTTGGGACGTTGCTCTAACTACATTCCCTGGTGGCTGCTTTATGACGATAACTGTTACTTATGCCATGGGAAATCTGGCAATAGACTTGGTTTCTCTCACTCCTTAGCTTCTTAAAGCTATTCTGTAAAGCAGCCAATTTTGTGGAATGCAGGAGTTGAAGAAGGAAGAATGTCACAGCTATTAGCATTTCTCTAAGAACCGACTTCTTTTGTAAGCACCTAAGAAACCTTCAGCTTCAACCAGCTAATTTGGATCTAATGATGAAATGCCTTGATCGCATGCTTTATCATGGTATCTAAGTGGTCATCAAACCATTACCTGCATCAAAGGCCCTTTTCAAACAAATACAACATTAAGTTCTTTTCAAAACCATTTAACCTAGATTGCCTCATTGTGTAATATTAAACCACTTCTAAGCCCTGCTAATTTCCTGAGTAATTTAACTTGTAAATTAGGAGGTAGCAATCTTTTATTATTTTTTTTTCTTTTTAAATCAGGGTTTCACTCCGTTTTCTAGGCTAGAGTGCAGTGACATGATCATAGTTGCTTATAGCTTTGACCTCTTGGGCTCAGACGATCCTTCTATCTCATATTCCCAAGTTACCTACTCTTCTGTAGTTCTGAGTAGCTGGGATTACAGGTGCAGACCACCACGTCCAGCTAATATTTTGATTTTTTTGTAGAGACAAGGTTTTGTCCAGGCTGGTCTTGAACTCCTAGGCTCAAGCAATCCTCCCACCTCCACCTTCCAAAGTGCTAGGATTATAGTGTGAGCCACCAAGCCCAGCCTTATTATTTGTTTGCTAGTTAATAATCTAAATTTCAGGGAGGACTACTATTTGCTTATCTTAGTAGGTCCTAAAATAGTGTGTTTTTGCACATAGGAAACAGTGAATTATTATTATTATGATTGACTTGAGCTTATTTGGAAGCATTTATGTAGTTCCCATTCTCATTTGTTTATTTTATTGTTATTACTTATGTTGATCCCATTCACATTTGTTTAATACTATTATTACTTATACATTGATTTACTAATATGCATTCTAAAATTTTTTTACTAATTTGTAAAAAGTATAAAGGATGCTGTGCTCATGCAATGCAGTCTTCGGTTTTATCACTGTTGATATTTAGTTTTTGAAAAACCTGTTGAAATGTTTTCTGAAATTTTGTTGTATTGAAGTGAAATAAGGTCACATTTTAAGTTTATTTTATGTTGAGCAAACTTCAAGCCAGAGGATTTTCATTTAACAGACTGTGGCAGGGCCGAGTCATTTAAACAAGTAGCCAATCAAGTGCTTAGGACTCCAGGCACTGTGCTTGGCACCAGGTGATAGATACGAAAATGAGCAGGAGAGTCAGGCCGTGGAAATGGGTCCTGAGCAGGGCAGAACATGCAGGGGTTTTGTTTTTGTTTTTGTTTTTCCCTCAACAGTTTATGATGTTTTCATCCCAATAGCTAAAGAGTAAATATGGCAAACTCAACTTTAGGCTCCTGCTGCTTGTTTCAAACCTATGAGCCTAACTCTCAGATAGTGAATCAGATAAACATCAAATCAGGATTAAAGGGGAGGCTGTTATAAAGGAACTATTTCTAAGAACCCTGGTTTTAAGCAATTCTTGGTGCTGTCTGTGAGGCTTTGGTATAATCAGGACATCATGGGGAGTGTCTCCTTAAGTTTGTTTTAATGGAATTTGTCCTGTAATACATGTGAATAAACTACATGCCACTCAGAATCAACTTTGCAGTTATTCATGATGGCATTTATTTGACAGTGTGGCCCTAAAGTCTACATGAGTATTTAGGGAATAATAACTATCTTCAATTCTATAGGGCTTATTTGCTTTTTTCCTTCCGTTGGATATCTATTTTATGCTTATGGTTGTATGAAGAAGATATGGAAAATATATGACACTGAGTTTTTGTGACAGCCTAGAGAAAATCTTTCTTATAAATACCTCCCTAATGATAAGAGACCCTTCATGGCCCAACACAATAGGTTGTTGTGACTCATTTTGCTGGATTCTTCGTTGTGTCATCATTCTGAGGCAACGCCAATTTCCAGTTGTCATTTACTAAGTCAGCTAGTATTTTCTAACTGCATTTTAGTTTTATAACTTTTGTCTGTTATAAAAGTGGTATTTACTTGTTGTAGGAAGATTAGAAAGCATAAAATAGTTACTATTAACACTTGTGTGTTTTTAGTTCTTTTTTTCTTACACATGTTTTATATATAATATCTTTAAAATAAAATGCTTATTTTAAAAAATAAAATTGTGTATGTAAGTATATGTATACGCATATGTGAAGACCTATACACATATACACACATGTAATCTTGTTATAGTTTTTACATGTAGCATTGTATGATAGTTTTTCATGTAATATATTCATTATTTAATTTTTCTTTATTATATTTTATTTAAAACTTTACATTTTATGAACATATGACTTATTTACATAGTTTAGAATCAAAAAGTACAAAATTATTTAGATATACACATGTATATATGATATGCATGTGTATATATGTTTATATATATGTATATCATATATAAGTATTCCTTTCAACCCTCCACCAGATTTCTACTTCTCTTTTCTGGAGGCAACCAAACACACACATGTGCATTCCACCTCCCTACAAATTGTGTTATTTCATATTGTTTGGCACCTTAGCTTATTTACTTAAAAAATATACCTTGTAGATTGTTATATATCAACATATAAAGAACCCTATTTCTTTTTATTTGCCAAATAGTATTTCATAGTATGGATGTATCGTGATATATTTTTACTTGTCCTCTATTGATGGATATTTAGGTAGTTTACAAGGTTTTGCTATTAGAAACATATTGCAAAGGATAACATAAAAATATGTACTTCCCCATATTTGGGAACATATATGAAGGATAAGTTCCTAGGAATGGAATTGCTAGGTCAAATGATCTATGTAATTTAAGTTGTGATAGATATTCCAAGAATGGTGCCAGGTGCTCAGTAAGTGTTTCTTGAATGAAGGAATGAGTTGACAGAGTGCTTTCCATAGGCTATGCTGATTTACACTCCTATTGGTAAAGTAGGAGAGAGGTCCTGTATTTCCACATCCTCATCGACAGTTTTTAATAGTTCATGGCACTCAGTTATACTTTAATTTATTCTCCCACTTTTGGACACTTAAGTTGTTTCCAGTTTTGACTCTAATACTGTGATGATCAATACTGTGTATAAATGTTTGTAACCACTTTTTATATTCTTAGGATAAATGCCAACACATAAAATCTTAGAGTCCAAGAATGTAAGTTCTATTCTAGTCCTTACTATATATTTCCAAATTACTTTTCAGAAAAGTTATGATGTTTTGTATTTCTATGCAATTGCCTTAGTATGTTCTGGCTAGTCATTTTACTATGCTCTTTAAAAAAAATAAAAATACTAATATTTATTTAGTATTTATTAAATGCTTCTAAGTATATTTAAATGAGATTTGGTTTCAAAATCGTTGAGAATTCTCTGAACTGCTGGTGCTCAAGATTTCTCTGGGGTAGAACCTTAAGAATTTTGATTCACTGTGAGGGTTAGCTTGTTTTCTCTTAGGTCTAATCCAAGGACCTAATGTGACTTCTGGCAGGCCCAGTGTTTCTCCGTGGTCCTAAATTAGACCCAGATTGCCAGAAATTCTTTAGATGTCATTAGGGATGCCTTGTGACCAAACAGAAAGGAACTGCTGTTGTGTTTCCACACAGGAAGATGGTAGCAACCACTGAGAGAGAGCTGAGATCATGGTAATTAACGAATGAGTCCACATTAACCAACTGCTTATTAAACTGATAAACTTTGGCTAATGACTCTGAGTCTGAAGATCTCTTGAACCTCCTACTTGAATGAGGGACAGTTCTATGTTTATAACCAGTGACTCTCTGGCATTTTTGAATATGTCTTAATGATCACTTGCTTATACAAGACTATACTTTTTTCTACTACTTTCCAATTTTATTTTACTGAATAACCACGACACAAATTCAAATGCAAACATTTGTTAATTTACATATGTTTGAGCCTCAGAGGTCAACCAGTTACCCTTTTTTTAGCTGTGAGGCTCATAACGTGTCTGGTTTATCATGCTTAACGTGTACTTTTTTCCCTCTTGGGGCAGCAGTGTCCTACAATGGAAGAAGCAGGCATAGGTTTGCTAGCATGCCAGAAATGCGTTTAATTCTGAACTTCACTGTATAATAGCTCTTAACTTCAGTTTCTTCACCAGCAAAATAGGGATAATAATATCCACCTAATGAGGTTGTTGTAAAGCTTAAATTTTATATATATATATATATATATATATATATATATATAGTGACAAGCTCAGATCATGGCACTTGGCTGGTATTCAGTTAATGTTAACAGAGCCTAGTGAGCAGATTGACGGGGGAAGTAATTTTGAATCAGAGACTGTCATTGAGGGAAATATTTAAAAATATATGATTTGTAGATTCTGTAACATCTTGCCAAATTGAGGCCTTGTAAGGTTTGGTATAATGAATAGAGATTAATTATTTTGTTTAATTGAAATGTGCTAGATCCTGTTAAAGTTTTTTTTAAATATTCTTTTGTGTGTGTGTGTAGGTGAACATACATGTTTGTTTATGGTGTCAACAATCCTCAAATTTATACTAGTGTAAAGGTAATTAGCTTAGTCTTGGTCCAGAATTTTATAAATCTGAATTGTTAGGGTATATTAGAATTAAATTAGAATTTTTAAGAAATTTTATACAAAGATTTGTAATCATCATGGGTAACTTTTTCTTTTAAATTCTGTTTCATATGCATATACTTATAGATACAAATTTTAACTATGCAAAAACCCATAAAATTAAAAATGAATTCATGTGATGTTATTTTTAGTAGCAATCTTTTTTCAGAAATAGTTTCTTACCTTTGTTTATTTTGTGTCCTTCATTTTTCTAGGAGCTGACCAGTGCTTTGGTGCACATAAAACTCCATCTTTTTATTCAGATCTTTACACTTGCATTCTTCCCAGCAACAATATGGCTTTTTCTTCAGCTTTTATCAATCACACCCATCAATGAATGGCTTTTAAAAGGGTATGTTTAAATCTTTTGAAGGGTCCACTTTTAATGGGACATCTCTAATGACATTATTGTTTCTATGGCATAGTTGTATACATAGTTGCAACTATGTATAAAAGGGCTCTGTGTGCTAGCTTATAAGAAAATTAAAACACTCCTAACATTATTATTTTCCTTTAAAACAATAGTGCTTAATCAAAGAGATTTATCAAGGAACAGAATCTTAAAATATATCTTCATGCTTTATCTTAAGATTCTAGGATGGACACTCTTCTGGGAATTTTAAAGAGTGGTCTTGGAAGAAAGATGAAAGTGACTAGAGGATGGAAGACCTGTATGCATGTATATAGTGTGGACTTTTAATTGCTTGGTTTAACTTTGC